GTGAGGGGGGAAGGGAAGGTCTCATAAAGAGGAAGTTGGGGGGGGGGAAGACTAGTCTGGCGCCATGCTGAGTCACCGCCCACAAGGCATAGGGCGGGCCCTCGGAGGCCATGGGCGGGAGTGGGGGGTCCTTGGGAAGCTACGAGGAGGGTGGGGGCAGAGGGCTTTGTTTTAAAGCAGGAGTCAGCAGAAAGAGCAGGTGGCCTGAAGAATACCTGTGGACAGACAGACAGTGCAGTCACCCATAAAGTAGAAAGCACTACTAACAGCACTGGAGGGTGTAGTGTTTCCTACTTTATGGATGAGTGTACTGTGGGCTTCGGAGACCGCGCCACGCTGCGGCCACCTGCCACCGCCCTCCTTCACCCCCGGATCAAGGAGACAGGTGAGCACACCTCCCCGTTTTGCCAGTGCCCTCCCGAAAGACTTTCACTGCCCCCCCCCCCCCCAAGCATTGCGCTTCCTGACCCCAGGCAACTGGGGAAAGAAACACCATGGCAGCTCTCCTGCGTTCGGGTCTGAGGACATGGGTGGGGCTGGATGTGTGGACCTTGGTGCCACACCTGCAGGAGGACTGGGGATTCCAGAAGGGAGACCAGATGGACCGGAATGGGTAGGGGTCACAGGGCTCTCCATACGAATAAAGAATGGACTTGTTTCACTTTTGTCTGAGACTCTGTTATTGGGGTATTGGGGTTGTGTGGGTTCCCTGAGTATCTGGGAACAGAATCACCACCCAAGAGAGAGATTGGGTGTCCTGACACAAGAAGAGTTAGACCAGGCTAAGCCACAGCCTGGGGATGGAAAGGCTTGGGTCACCGGAAGCCCAGGAAGCAGACCTTCTGGCAATGCGAATAAAGGGTTAGGGTATGAGGGGGGCCTTTACTTTTGGCCCTAATTGCTGCTCCATCTTCTCTTTACTCTCTTCACCTCCAAAATGAAGGTCCCTTGCCTCTGGTTTTGGTCTAAGGAAGTCTAGAGCAGTGATTCTCAACCTTCCTAAGGCTGCGATCCTTTAATGCAGTTCCTCATGTGGTGATCCCCAACCATAAAATTATTTCCGTGGCTACTTCATACCTGTAGTTTGCTACTGTTTTGAATTGTAATGTAAACACCTGTGTTTTCCGATGGTTTAAGGTGACCCCTGTGAAAGGGTCATTCAATCACCCAAAGAGGTTGCAGGCCCCAGGTTGAGAACTGCTGGTCTAGAGGATCCTTGGTAGCGTAAGAGTTGGGCAAAGCCACTATGGCACAGTGTTCCCACCAGCGCCTTACACATTGTCAGGTCACGGGTGCTAGTCAGCAAAGCACACACGCATCGCCATTCACATGCATGGCGCCGGGCCTTGCACACATGCCAGCAACATGCATGAACCAAGACAGACTGAGACATGGGGGGGGGTGTAGCACTGGGTATATAGTTACCTACTACAAACACGTGTTCGTAGTACTTACACATATAGTGTTATATGACATGTCATGCCCAAGAATATATCCATAGTGGTATAGATTCACATAGATACGGTGGCTCCATAGACATATAGTGACATTTTTATAGATAATATGAGATGAAGATAATATAACAGCATACACACTGACTAAGGATCTCAGTGTGGGTTTCGACACCTATGACACCTATGGACTGAAACAAATATTTTTTATTTGATACTTATTTGTGTGTGTGCTCATGTACTGTGGCATGCATGTGGGGGTTGGAATCAGTTCTCCACTTTCACCGTGTGGTTCCTGGGGATCAAACATGGTCAAGCTTGGTGGCAAGTATCTCCACCCACGGGGCAATCCTACTGGCCGGACTGAAGAAAAAAAAATGTGTTTCTAATGGCAAGGCAAGTATGTGGTGTATGCCTGTAATTGGATTACAGGCAGGTGGAGGCCGGAGCTGCGTGAGACCCTAAGAAAGGAAGCTGTGTCTTAGGTTCTATGCATCTCTGTCAGTCTCATGGTTTCCCCACTAATGCAGTACAGTTGCTTGCTTAGCACTTACATTGTATTATAAGATATTATAAATCTATAGAGATTTAAAGCATATAAGAGGGCTGAGGATATAGGTGATAGGGTGCTTGCTTGGCGTGAAGGGACCTTGGGTAAACAGGATGTGTAAAAGCTGTGTGCAGATATTTCATCATGTCATATAAAGGACTTGAGTGTCTGAGAACTTGGAGCATCTGGAGATGATCCTAGAGCCAATTGCCCTTAGGCATGGAAGAGTAAAAAAAGTATATATATACACACACACATATATATACTTTTTAAGGTTGGTTTTGGTTTTTTTTGAGACAGTTTCTTTGTATAGCCCTGTTTGTCCTGGAACTTTCCCTGAATACTACTAGGCTAGTCTTAAACTCTCAGTGATCCACCTGCCTCTGCCTCTCAAGAGCTGGGATTAAAGGCGTGCACCATCACACCTGGAGAGTATATCGTTATATGCATGTCATTGTATGCCATTACACATCACATGACAATGTGTGTCATAATGTGTCGATAATGGCATAGATACACATGATTTATGCCATGACGTTATAATTTGTAAACTTACAATGATAGAATCATAATTATATGCATATATACCTTGTGCCAAATAGACATTCCAATGACACAGAAACTTGCACAGATATATACACAATGATATTCATAGACATAAAATAGTCCACATACATATAATGATCCTCTCCGCATGTACACAGACATAAACATATCTCTCATATATACATACGATTTACATAACAACATGCATATACATACTGACCTAAAGTTGCGTGATAAACATCACATAGTGACGTGCATACTGATGCATGCACTAGTATGTCATCTCCTCCCTCTGCAACCCTCCCTCCCCTAGTCCCATTAGCTCTGGCCTTGGTGGAGCCTACAGTCTGGGGTGGGCCAGTGTTCTCTAGGGCTTAGCTGCTATTCCATTGTGGTGCCACATGAGGGCCCCCAACCTTGGCTTGAGATGGCTTGTTTTACTGAGTCCAGGAAACAGGGGTTGCCTCTCCCCATCACTCTTATCTCTAGGGATCTAGGTGCCCCACATACACCAGTCAGGCGCCTGGGTGGGGCAGTTCCTATGTCCTTGCTCCCAAAAACTCTTTTCTCATGGCAAAAATAAATAAGCAAACAAAGCCTAAGGCTAGACAGAAAGTGAATTTCCTGACAATTGAGGGCAAAGCCAGCCTAAGAGGTCATGTCTTGTGGTCTCCCCTGCTGCCCTGGGAAGGCTGGGCTGTCCCCCAAATGTGTTCTGCTGCCCTGGGAAGGCTGGGCTGTCCCCCAAATGTGTTCTGCTGCCCTGGGAAACCTGGACTGTCCCCCAAATGTGGTCTGCTGCCCTGGGAAGGCTGGGCTGTCCCCC